AAAGCATATTCCTTAGGAGATAAGGATTGCTACAAATAAAGGGGATGATTATCCTAATCCTATAATGATTAGGATAACTACAACATATGGATAAACACAAGGGAGGATAGTGACTGATGCTTGGCCGCCTGGTATGGTACTGATATGGTCTGGTCCATTTCCGGATATGTCCCAACCACCATCTTCATTTCTTAACAATGTATTCCATGAGATTTAGTTTTGTAAAAAAAAAAACGTATATAAAATGGACTGTTACACAGACGACAGAAATATATATGTTGAGAGACATAGCAACTTCAGAATCAGATTAGCCTTATGAAACAACACAATACAAAACTAATTAGATGATGCACCTGATTATATATAAGTAACGATCTTAACTTAAACTCTAATTAAGATACCTTACGTATCAGTACGTCTCCACGATTATCGCCCCACACACGTATACTCTGCATGCATTTGATCATGACCGTTCGTTGTAACATACACTAACGATAACACAAAATCTCACAAGAGTTGGTGGTACTGATCGTTAGAAGAAGGACCCGAGATACCCGAACAGTTCCAGAAGTACTGGTTATTTGTTTGATTCGCCGGGGGCGTCAAACCGGAGACCGGTCTAGACAAGTTAACCAAATTTGATTGTTCTTCCATTTTCACCGGGGGAGCCTGGTAAGCACTAGAATCAACCATGGAAGTAGAGGAATAAGATATTCCGATATTACCTTCGTTCTGGAAAGCGTGTAGCCCCGTCGTTGGATCAAAGAGAGCGAAGTGACTCAGCGATCCAGCAGACGCCATCAGGTTGTTTATTGCACCGTTATTGATGTTGTCATGAATGTTTCCATTTCTGACGTGAAGAAACCCTAGATCATTCATCAAACTCGAACCAATCTGGTGAGCTTGGTTGTTGCCATTAGTGGCAGCTAAATTCAAACCGATACCACCTAGTTGAGTGAGATTGTGAAGAGTTGGCAAAAACGGGAACTGATGGTTTGTCCTTAGCTGTCCTGAGTTAGAACTTGGAGCGTTGACCGTGGAAGAAGACTGTTTAGACAAGGAAGATGAAGATTTTGAGTTACTATTTTTGCCCTTTTTGCTATTCTTCCGGCAGCCTCCACCCACGGGGACGTTTCGCAGGGCACCACCACGTGTCCAGTAGCGGCGGCAAGCCTTGCAGAAGTAACGAGGCTGAGTAAGGTTGTAGTTGTTGTAGTAACAGAACTTAGTGTTGTTGGAGTCGCATCGTGGACACTTTAGGGCTCCCTCAGGTGGAGGAAATTTGGCCTGCCTCGCTCTCTCAGCCATGGATCCACCAAGTCTCGCCGGAAGACCACTGGCGGCAGCAGCATAGTGGTGGTTAGGGTTAGGGTTTGGTGGGCAAGGTTGAAGTTGTTGAGAAAGTAGTCCATTCTCGTGAAGCTGATGCTGATGATGGTTTGAATTTGTAGGCTGAAAAAAAAAAATCAAATAGATGAAATGAAAATAAATGAAAGACCCAATAAAATTCAATTCGACACTGGTATCATTTGTATTTGCAAAGCAAGAAATACCATATATATATATATAGATGTTGAATTTTAAAGAAAGCGGGTTATAGGATAGAAGATGAGAATACGAATATCTTTTGGAAATGAATCAAAATTATTACTAAAACGAATCAAAATATCAATGAAGAATTTAAGAGAGAACATTAGTAATGGATTATCAAAGAAGTGAAACCTGTGACCAATCGGATGAAAAAACCATTGTTCTTCTATACCCTTTAATATTTCTTCCTTCTTTAATAAAGTTTGATGGATTTTTAGGAGAAACTTGGTGGAGAATCAAAAAATAAAATAAAAGGGCAAAACGAAAGAGAGGAAACCAGACGACCAAAGAGAAACGTAAAGAGAGCACAGAATCAAAGAGGATAGTGAGAAGAGAAAAGGAGAACAAAGACAAAATAAAGAGAATAAATTGCTTTTTTAACGAGAAAAAGAAAAGGAGTTTCGGTCCTTTTTATGATTCCATACATTTGTATAATTCTCATTCTCATATCTTGTGTATACGCGTCATCTGTGTAATTTTTATATGTGATTCAACTTTTTAGGGTTTAAGTGGGGACATTTCTTCGCCTATAAGGCTCCTCTCCCAGACGTCTCTGGAGTCTGGAATAAATTTAAATATAGGGAAGAAATATTTTGAAACTATACCAAAAAGTTGCATGAAAAGATTATCCAACTATTTTCTCTCCTCGGTGGAGATAAATCGAATTAGACATGTTGAAATCTCTATAATTTAGATGCCGAGCCCCATATGCCACATCTAAAGCACATCATCATCATTCTCTATTACACTTTTGGTGGGATCTTGTCTATTTATACAGCGGGAGTGTAAATATATCTGCATTTATTAAATTGGATCATTATCTTAAGGAAGTATAAATTCAGGCAAATAATCTGTAGTAAATATTGGTATTTTATAAAGTCGATTCCGTATATGTTAATGTTAAATGAGTAAATCCAACATTTATGAACTAAACGATATGCAAATTGTAGCTAGATAAGTTTTTATATTACTGTTTTCCATTGTATTTATTTAATGAATGTTTTGTTAATAGTATAACTGTATAAGGACTACACAATCATTACAAAAGAATAAACGGATGAAAATTCATATACTTTAAGTACTAGAAGAAAATACAATACACGGGTCTTGTAGTTTACAACGAAATTTTATTTCAAAGTGAAAAGAGTTTTTCGTTTTGCGACTCCAACTTTTATTTATACGCCAAAGTATTACTATGTAACAAAACGTACTACTTGTTAAAAGAGCTTTACATCTTGCAGTCTGTCTCTCTCTACATTTTGGCTACTCTTTTTAATCTTTCTCTTATCTCTTCATTGATCACTCGTTTTGTTTTTCTTTGACGTCATTACTCGTTTCGTTTATAAATTTGTGAAACCACTTTTTCAGAAAGGGGCCGTCAAAGATAGCCTACTTGCAGCATTATTATAACACACTGCTTCGAGTGGGGCAAAACTCTCCACCGCAAATAAGTTTTGTTTTCTCAATAAACGCAAAATGATAAAAGGACGTTCATGCATGAATCCATCACGACCACCTTTTCATATACCAAACCATTATGTAGACTCTTATCATTATTCTTCGTTTTCTTTCATCTTTTAAATTTGATAGCTCGTTTGAGATTAAGTTATCTTTGCGGCATTTTTCTCGGAAAATGTATTTCGTGTAAAGTTAATTGTGCGATATCATATCACTAATAAATATATGGTTTAATTTAAGAATCTCTGGTTTTCTACTTTATTAAAAAAAGAAAACTAGATAACATACTAATGTCAATTCTAAATATAAAACCATATAATCCATCCATCTCATTATTTATTGTTGGTTGTAGAGATCTTAGATTTCAAATTAAATGTATTTTGAAATGTCAAATGTAATATTTTCATCATAAATGTTTAGTTTATCCATAATCAAAATTAACAAAACATATCGGAGAAATGAATAATCAAGACTCAAGAGTATTTTTAGGGCCGGTCTAGAGGAGAAGCCCCCCAAACTACTAATTTGAGCATTTAAATGAATGAGATATGTTTTTAAATTTTTTTTATTAGTATTTATAAATATGTTGAGTTTTAGATAAATATTACTTATTGAAAATTATTAATTTAGAAAACAAACTCCAATACTCTTCGACACCAGTGCAACTAATACATAGTTAATTTGTTTAGTTGTTTCTCAATCCGTATAACATATTTATCAATAAAAATTATATAAAAACACTAATGTTATTACGAGTATTATTGTTGTTATCAAATAAATATAAATTATGTTTAAACATTAATAAAATCATATAAATATAAGTAAAAATTAATAAAAATATAAGTAAAAATTAATAAAATAATAGTAAAATATATAAAATCTAAGTAATCTATTATTTTTTAAATGTGAGATTTTGTATTAACAATTGATTTTAACAAATTATGATTGATTATGATCAAAATGTTGGTGATAGTATTAACAAATATTATTATACAATTTTTATAAAAATATATTCAATAATTATTAATGCAGTTGAATTAGTGAAAAAATAATGTGATCTTTTATATTTTAAAGATATATCTATATATGACTATCAGGTAAATATCAAAATATGCTGTTTAATTTAAGTAATAGTGCTTTTTGAATGGGAACTCAACAAAGATAAATACCAACAACATCAAACATTCGTCCCAACGTTCCCCAGTTACAAAAAAATCGATATATTCTTTCTCCTCCACTGCTTTCTTCTTGTTTAGTTTTATATTATTAAAATAATTTTTTTAAAGAAATAGTAAGATTTTTTTTTAAAAAAATTTCCATATATTATATATATTAAATTATTAAAAACGACAATAAATTATTAAAAGTATTAAAAGTCGCACACTAATAAATTTGTGATCAGTGGTTTAAAAATATATTATAACTATATACAAATGATTATAAAATCATATGAATAAGAAGTCTCATTTAATATTTATTGAGATTAAAAGATATATTTATTTTAATATTATTTGTATATATTATATAAAATTATAATTTCAAAATTTTATTTGAAAAATATTGAGAAGACTATTTTTAATTTTGAACATTACATTGCTTTTTTAAAAAAAAAATGATCACAAAATAGTAAAACTCTTAAAACGTCACATTAAAAAATTTGTTATGAGTGATTTAAAATGTAGAAAATACAATTGATTATCAAAAAACCATATGAATAAAAAGTCTTATTCAATAAATTTCAAACGGTTAGGATTTATCAACTAAAGTCGGTTTCATTGATTCCAAGTTCCAACACAACCCAAAGACACCTATATTCATGAGAACCAAGTAAAGAAACATAACAATGACTGAGCTTTGCTGGTTGAGACATTCATCTTTCCATTTCGGGCTTTGTATTGAAAAAACCCATGTCCGTTAACCAAAATGAGGGACCAAACTTAGAAACATTTTTATCAAACCAAAAATTATCGTTTAGAAAACAAAAAAGTTACCAACGAAGCTGACTGAGTTAAGCCACAAAGTGAATATTCAGCTAGGAGACTAGAGTATCAACAACAATAATTATCGGCTTACTTGGGCCTCCAAGCTATAATAAATGAATAAGCCCATTGGGCCCAAATGGAAGCTCAAGACGCAGCCCATAGACATCGTTTCATTTATTTATTTTTTCCTTGCGCTAGTATAAATAGTGAAGAAAACCCTAACTCTCCGTCTCTTTGCTTTCTCTCCGTCACTGAGCTACCTTGCCTCCCGAGCTGCCAAATCTTAAAAGGTACAATTAGTTTATTCGCTCGTTCATATTAACTGATCTGTAGTTCGATTTTATCACCTCAGGGGGCTTGTGTGTTGATTCTCTAGTGTTGCTTGGTAACTTTCATAGGTCATAAGCGCTTGATTTTGTTATGAACGCATTATTCGTTAGTCATTTCTGTGGATTATATAGTTTGAACCAGTGTTAGAATCTGAATTTTTTTTTTTTTTTTTGTTTTTGGTTTAGCAGAGGCTTGAGAGGTTTAAGAGAAAATGGTGAGAATCAGTGTACTAAACGATGCACTCAAGAGCATGTACAATGCTGAGAAACGTGGCAAGAGGCAGGTCATGATCAGACCTTCCTCAAAAGTCATCATCAAGTTTCTCATCGTGATGCAAAAGCACGGTATGTTTTTTTGATATATATTTATATATACATTCCCTTTAATATACTTGAGAGATTTGTTTCTTAGGTTTGTTATGTAATTCAAAATGTTATGCAGGTTACATTGGTGAGTTTGAGTACGTTGATGACCATCGATCTGGCAAAATCGTTGTGGAGTTGAACGGGAGGTTGAACAAGTGTGGTGTTATCAGCCCACGTTTTGATGTTGGTGTTAAGGAGATTGAATCTTGGACTGCTCGTTTGCTTCCTTCCAGACAGGTTCGGTCTTTATTAACTTTGTCATGTAATCATTTTCTATTTAATGACCATTTTGTGTAACATTTTCCTTTGGATTGAAAAATTGCAGTTTGGTTACATTGTGTTGACTACTTCAGCTGGGATTATGGACCATGAAGAAGCTAGGAGAAAGAATGTCGGAGGCAAGGTCCTTGGTTTCTTCTATTGATCAAACTTCTATATGGTGAAGTAGAGAGTTTCATTCAGTTGTTTTGAAAACTTTTTTCCCATTTCCTTTGTTTTGTCTTTTCGAATTTTGGTGACAACTTTGTTGGATAGTTCTTTGATAATATTCATTTCGGACTCTTCATTTATCCGTAAACCATTCTCTCTAAATCCCTAATCTTATTATGACAAAATCTATTAAGAAGACTGATATTGTTATGTATGTGACCTCATTCAATACATAATCTTATTATGTGTCTAAGGTGGTTACTTGGGCAAGTATTCATACCTAATTTTCCTCACTCTTTCATTAAACTATCCTGTTTAACACATTTGTTAATTCATTACATGAAGAAACCTTTCCTTGGTGTTAAAAAAAAAAAGAAACCTTTCCTTTAAGAGTAATGACATTATACTCTTGCGGAAAGTAGAGATGCATATAATAATAAGAGATACAAATGCTAAACACATCATTGTTGTTCTCATTAATAAAACCTGGAAGAAAAACATAAACTATTCAAGAACTGCCAAAGGTTATCTCGTTGCCCAATTTCCTAATAAAAATCGAACAGACCTTATTAGAAAGTGGTCTACGGATCACTCTCTCCCCTCTCAGGCCATATCTTGGTCATTGTATCAGCTCATTTCCGGCGCTGGGTGCTCGGAAGTACCTTCTTGTCTGATGACATTATGTAAGTATATGTAAGAGAGAAACGAGAGAGAGAAGAAGGTTTGATGACCATCATCCATTGATGGTCTTTACGACCTCAAAAAGAGAGCCAAGTGAGAGAGAGAGACTTTTCATTTTCAGTTTATAGACCAAAAAAAAGTAGGTCGTTCGAGTCGAGGAAGTATATTCACGAGTATATGCTTTCAAACCATTTAACTTAGCTGACCTGAGACCCATTATTACAACCTTTTTTCACTCACTTTTTTGTTAATTATTCGACGTGTGAGTAACATGGGCTGCTCGCCACAAAAGTAGAAAGCAAGTGAGGTATGCTTTACCTAATTGTCTCTCATTGTCATTGGACTACATTCGTGGATATATCAATTTTTACGAGGTTACCAGCTTTACTTTTTCTCTAAATACGATTACCAAATGTATTTTCAGTTAACTACTACATTTGCATTTTCTCTAACCAATTCACTGAAGCTATGTTTCTTACATTGTGTGTCTATATCGAATTCTCTTTGGGGTAAGCAAAATGTTCTTAATATATCTATCTGAAAACAGGTTCTATACATAATAATACAACACACAAAACAGGTTCACTGTCCTCAAAAACTAATTCTACCAGTATAAATTCAGAGAGAAATAGAATCAGCCGAATACACGGACTGTTGTGAAGTAAATAGTACATTTACAAGTTAGCTCTGGTTGTGTGAAATAAACTGGATTTACATTTACCAGTTAAGTTTTGTTATGTGATGTTTGTTGCCACTCAAAGTGGCTGTAGTTTAGTGGTAAGAATTCCACGTTGTGGCCGTGGAGACCTGGGCTCGAATCCCAGCAGCCACATTCTTTTTAAAATTTTTTTTTCACATGGGCCTGTAATTCTTTTAATTTTTTGCTTACAAAATAATGGCACTGCTGGGTCTATGTATAAAATTTATTAATAAGTTATTCATGTCTCTCTGCTAAGTTTTTTCTTTTCTCAATTGTGACTACTCCCGACTAAGACTTCTATTCATGTCTCTGCTAAGTTTTTTTTGTTCCTCGACCGGTTCTTGATCTCTTTGTTCAGATATTAAGGTTTCTTTATTAATGATGTAAAAACACATTTACAAGTTTTCAGTTCGTCCAGTTCACATTCTATCATGGACTAACTCACAACCCTGCCTATTAACGGATTAAACATTCTAAATCATACAATCCTCATGTTACGTTCATAGGTTTAGTTTAGTATCCATGCATGTCCCTTTTGACAATTTAATGATATTTTTTTTTTTTGAAAAAGACAATTTAATGATATTATATTGATAATTTAATCAATGGATAAACCATGACGCATTATTACATAGGATTTCGATATTTAAAATTTTAACAAGTAGGATAAGGTATACCACAAGCCGCTAAGACCTTGCGACCACTTTGAGAATCAATATACGGAGCAAGCACTGGATTTTTTAGGTAATCACAGAAACACGATTCTTGTTCTTTCAATTTTCCGCAGCATTCAGCGGACGGTGGACTTCCAGATTCATATGCTGGTAAGCATACTACAAAAATTTCTCTCGGAATGCATTCCACTTTCTCTTCCAAAACTGCTGTAGCCGGAGCTAAAGCCGACACAAGAACTATCACAAACGCGATGTATAGTATTCCTGTGAACTTCATGTTTTGTAAGCTTAGCGACTCCCTCAACCTAGTTCTAGTTATTATTGTTGTTGAGAAATGTTTGAGATGTTGATTTTGAGGTGTAGATAGTCAGGCTATATTTATATAGATGGAGGCTGGAGTAATATTTGTAGGAGATTGACATTTTAGGTAGTGTATCTTGGAAGTTTTGACTGTAAGCTTTTCATATCTATGTGAGACATGTTACTTTGGTAAGTATAATAAGATATTGACATGTGTATGCATAATTACATTTTTGATACATATTAGCAATTCTCTTTTCTTTTTGGTCAAAGCAATTCCTTAAAAAGAAAACTACTTAATAGGAAGGAATCTCATATTAAATTTAACTAGTCAAGAATGAAAAATATGTTTTTATAAAAAACCATTAATGTTTAGATTATCTATATTTTTTTTTTGAAATTTTACAGCACTAATTTTCCTAGAATTAAATATAAAAACTGTTGTCAATATTTGTAAGTATAAAATTAAATTAAACATATGAAATAGAATGATTTGCTTTAATTTCTATCACCAAAACTCTAAAACCATGTATAATGGAGGTGTTGAATGAAAAATTCAACAATTGAATCATTATAATGAACCTGTNTTTGAAATTTTACAGCACTAATTTTCCTAGAATTAAATATAAAAACTGTTGTCAATATTTGTAAGTATAAAATTAAATTAAACATATGAAATAGAATGATTTGCTTTAATTTCTATCACCAAAACTCTAAAACCATGTATAATGGAGGTGTTGAATGAAAAATTCAACAATTGAATCATTATAATGAACCTGTTAAAAAATGAAATTTGATGATGTTGATTATTTAATGTTGAAAAGATTTATGTTGAATAACAAGAAAGTGAAAACCATCGAATACAAATGTTACTTTTTATAGAGGTTTTTGAACTTTTCTGTTTTATTATTTTTATAAATTCAATACTTTTACTATAAATTAAATAATTCATTTTTATTTTTATCCAAATTGCATTATTTTAAATTATCTACAAATATGTAAATTTAACTTAGACATAGAAAAAAAAATTTCTTTCTGACCATAAAAGTTAATTATTAATTAGTAAAGTAGAGGGGTAAATTTAATTAAAGAACATTGTAATATGTAAAAATTAAATATGTGTTGAAAGATGAAATGTAAGAAAAAAAAAGAAAAAAAGATATTAAGAGATGAAAAATCTAAACTATTAAAAGGAGAGTACAAATAAAAAATACGGTTTAATTTTTCTTAGATATTACATCATCATGCCAACCTTAAATTTAGTTATCACTTAAAAATATTTCAAAATCACTTTAATGCAATTTGAATGGCAAAAAGTCACATATTTTCTTCCTCGGTTTAAATTGGATTGCCATGTATGTCAAAACTATAACATAAAATTATCATAAATTAAAACGACTGTATTCCATCACTAAACAATCATATTACATCTATCATAATTCAAGTCATCAAAATCAAAGAGACATGCTTAAGATATTATTAAAGTTGTCTACGGATCCCTCTTCTCCCCTCTCAGGCCGTATCTTTGTCATTGTATCAGCTCTCTCCGGCTAAGCTTCTTGTTTGATGACATTATGTAAGTATATGTAAGAGAGAAATGAGAGAGAGAAGAAGGTTTGATGAGCATCATCCATTGATGGTCTTTACGACCTCAAAAGAGAAGCCAAGTGAGAGAGAGACGTTTCATTTTCAGTTTATAGACCAAAAAAAGTAAGTCATTCGAGGAAGTATATTCACAAGCATATGCTGTCAAACCATTTAACTTAGCTGACCTGAGACCCATTATTACAACTTTTTTGTTAATTATTTGACGTGTGAGTAACATGGGATGCTCCCCAGAAAAGTAGAAAGCAAGTGAGGTATGCTTTACCTAATTGCCTCTCATTTTCATTGGACTACCTTCGATTTATCAATTCTACGAGGTTACCAAAACCAGCTTTACTTTTGCTCTAAAACGACGGATGTGGAGTCTCTATCACTTGGTATATGATTACCAAATGTATTCTCAGTTAACTACTACATCTGCATTTTCTCTAACCAATTCACTGAAGCTATGTTTCTTACATTGTGTGTCTATATCGAATTCTCTTTGGGTTTCTAGCAAATGTTCTTAATATATCTTATCTGAAAACAGGTTCTCTACATAATAATACAACACACAAAACAGGTTCACTGCCATCAAAAACTAATTCTACCAGTATCATTTTAGAGAGAAATAGAATCAGTCGGATACATGGACAGTTGTGAAGTATGTAGTACATTTACAAGTTTGCTCTGGTTGTCTGAAGTAAATGGGATTTTACATTTATCAGTTAAGTTTTTTTGTGTGATAGTTGTTGCCACTCAAAGTGGCTGTAGTTTAGTGGTGAGAATTCCACGTTGTGGCCGTGGAGACCTGGGCTCGAATCCCAGCAGCCACATTCTTTTTCAAATTTTCTTTTCACATGGGCCTGTTGTAATTGTTTTATTTTTGCTTACAAAACAATGGCACTGCTGAGCCTATGTATGATATTTATTACTAGTATAAAATGAAGAAACGTGATGGATTAATAATTTATTCATGTCTTTGCTAAGTTTTTTCTTTTCTCCATTGTGACTACTCCCGAGTAAGACTTATAATCATGTCTCTGCTAAGTTTTTTTTTTTTCCCTTGACCGGTTCTTGTTCTCTTTGTTCAGCTCTTAAGGTTTCTTTATAACACATTTACAAGTTTTCAGTTCGTCCAGTTCACATTCTATCATGGACTAACTCAGAACCCCGCCTAGTAACGGATTAAACATTCTAAACCATACCATCCTCATGATGGGTTACGTTCATAGGTCTAGTTTAGTATCCATGCATGTCCCTTTTGACAATTTTTAATCATAACGATCTATACTAGAAAAATGATATTATATTGATAATTTAATCAATGGATAAACCATGACACATTATTACATAGGATTTTGAAATTTAATTTTTTTAACAAATAGGAGCAGGTATACGACAAGCCGCTAAAACCTTTTGAGCAATTGGAGAATTAATATACGGAGCAAACTTTGGATTTTTTATGTAATCACAGAAACACGATTCTTGATCTTTCAGTTTTCCGCAGCATTCAGCTGACGGTGGACTATCACCTTCATGATATGCTGGTGAGCATACTATAAGTTCTGTCGGAACGCATTCCACTTTCTCTTCCAAGACAGCTTTGGTCGGAGCTAAAGCCGACACAAGAACTATCACAAACGCGATGTATACTACTCCTGTGAACTTCATGTTTTGTAAGCTTAGCGACTCCCTCAACTTAGTTCTAGTTATTATTTTTGTTGAGATATGTTTGAGATGTTGATTTTGAGGTGTAGATAGTCAGGCTATTATATAGATGGAGGCTGGAGTTATATTTGTCAGAGACTGACATTTTAGGTAGTGTATCTTGGAAGTTTTGACTGTAAGCTTTTCATATCTATGTGAGACATTACTTTGGTAACTACAATAAGATATTGACATGTGTATGCATAATTACATTTTTGATACATATTAGCAATTCTCTTTTCTTTTTGGTCAAAGCAATTCCTTAAAAAGAAAACTACATAATAGGAAGGAATCTCATATTAAATTTAACTAGTCAAGAATGAAAAATATGTTTTTATAAAAAACCATTAATGTATAGATTATCTATAGTTTTTTTTTGAAATTTTACAGCACTAATTTTCCTAGAATTAAATATAAAAACTGTTGTCAATATTTGTAAGTATAAAATTAAATTAAACATATGAAATAGAATGATTTGCTTTAATTTCTATCACCAAAACTCTAAAACCATGTATAATGGAGGTGTTGAATGAAAAATTCAACAATTGAATCATTATAATGAACCTGTNTTTGAAATTTTACAGCACTAATTTTCCTAGAATTAAATATAAAAACTGTTGTCAATATTTGTAAGTATAAAATTAAATTAAACATATGAAATAGAATGATTTGCTTTAATTTCTATCACCAAAACTCTAAAACCATGTATAATGGAGGTGTTGAATGAAAAATTCAACAATTGAATCATTATAATGAACCTGTTAAAAAGTGAAATTTGATGATGTTGATTATTTAATGTTGAAAAGATTTATGTTGAATAACAAGAAAGTGAAAACCATCAAATACAAATGTTACTTTTTATAGAGGTTTTTGAACTTTTCTGTTTTATTATTTTTATAAATTCAATACTTTTACTATAAATTAAATAATTCATTTTTATTTTTATCCAAATTGCATTATTTTAAATTATCTACAAATATGTAAATTTAACTTAGACATAGAAAAAAACACGGTTTAATTTTTCTTAGATATTACATCGATCATCATGCCAACCTTAAATTTAATTATCACTTAAAAATATTTCAAAATCACTTTAATGCAATTTGAATGGCATAAAGTCACATATTTTCTTCCTCGGTTTAAATTGGATTGCCATGTATGTCAAAACTATAACATAAAATTATCATAAATTAAAACGACTGTATTCCATCACTAAACAATCATATTACATCTATCATAATTCAAGTCATCAAAATCAAAGAGACATGCTTAAGATATTTATGTTTAAAAACTTAAGATCATCACTATTCAAGGAATTTTTATCATTATCATGTACATACTTTTTTTTTTTTTTGACAACCATGTACATGTTTTCATTTATACCATTAAGATCAATCGTGATCTTTTGGTTCATATGTACGTATGTTTTGTATAACCACCTTCTTACTAAAAAGAATCTCAATAACATATTCCATTTGAAATATTATATTCAACAGATTTTTCGATGCACACAATCTAAACCAATGATTTTGGTTTCTCTTAAATTAATGATGATATTCCAAATTCAACTCCTATGTGACTATGTCTAAGCTATCACATTAACTAAAATAAAATTATATTAATTTTACTAACACAATCTACCAAAAATAGGAATAGGACTACCTTCGATCTATCAATTTTACGAGGTTACCAAAACTAGCTTGCTTTAGCTCTAAAATGACGGATGTGGAAACTATCAGTTGATATGATTTTGTGCAGTGTAACTTTTTTCGGTTTCGAATGTATTCCCAGCTTGCTACATCTGCATTTGCTCTAACCAAGTCATCACAATTCGAGACTCTAAAGCTATGTTTCTTACATTGTGTGTCTATATCTAATTCTCTTTGGGTTAGCAAAATGTTCTCACAAGAAAAGTTCTATACATAATATAATACAATACACTAAACAGGTTCACTGTCATTAGAAACTAATTCTACCTGTAAAAATTCTGAGAGAGAGATGGAATCAGCCGGATACACGGACAGTTGTGAAGTAAATGGTACATTTATAAGTTAGTTTTGGGGTGTGAAGTAAACTGGATTTTATTTATTGGTTAAGTCTATTTATATGATCATTTTCGCCACTCAAAGTGGCTGTAGTTTAGTGGTAAGAATTCCACGTTGTGGCCGTGGAGACCTGGGCTCGAATCCCAGCAGCCACATTTTTTAAAAAAATATTTCATATTTTACATGGACCTGTATTGTTTTATTTTTGCTTACAAATCATTGGCACTGCTGGGCCTATTTATGATATTTTTTTGGTCGAATATTTATGATATTTATTATTAGTATAAAAGGAAGTGATATGGGTAAATAATTTATTATACAGAAACTTATCTGTGAAAGCATATTTATTCGATGGAAGCATATTTATCTGTGAAAGCATATTTATCTGTAGAAGACATCAAGGACGGTGGCAGATTCGTTGTCTTGAATAAAATGTGGCGAATCCAAAATAATTTCTGGCTGGGTGCACATAGTGTAAATTTACCAATGATAATATATGTACATATGAAATTAGGCTGAGGAAAACACTATCTTTAAAAAAAATTATGGGTGCATGTGCACCCCCTCTTTCCTTACTAGCTTCGCCCTGGTCTTGAACACCAAGAACCTGGAAGTGGAAGAGTCCAGGTGGTTGGTGCTAATTGAAAAAGACCGGCCTATAAAAACAATGGGTAAACATAATTTATCATGAACTAATTACTCACCATCTTTGTCTATTAACGGATTTAAAATTCTAAAGCATATATACATACCTTCATCATGATGGGTTCATATATAGGTTTAGTTTAGTATCCATGCATGTTACTTTTGACATGTTTAATCAAAACGATCTATACTAAAAAAACGATATTATATTGATAAGTTAATGAATGGATAAACCATTACGCATTATTACATAGGATTTTGAAAAAAATTTAACAAGTAGGATAAGGTATGGATAAACCATTACGCATTATTACATAGGATTTTGAAAAAAATTTAACAAGTAGGATAAGGTACACCACAAGCCGCTAAAATCTTGCGAGCAATTGGAGAGTTAACATACTGAGAAAACAATGGATTTTGTATGTAACCACAGAAACACGGTTCTTGTTCTTTCAGTTTTCCGCAGCAATCAGCGGACGGTGGACTTCCAGATTCATATGCTGGTAAGCATGATATAAGTTCTGTCGGGACGCATGCCACTTTCTCTTCTGCTTTGGTCGGAGCTAGAGCCGAGACAAGAACTATCACAAACGCGATGCATACTACTCCTGTGAACTTCATGTTGTGTAAGCGTGGCGACTCTAGTTCTAGTTATTATTTGTGTGGAGAGATGTTTGAGATGTTGATTTTGAGGTGTTTATAATCAGGTTATTATATAGATGAAGGCTGGAATAATATTTGTAAGAGACTGACGTTTTAGGTAGTGTATCTTGGAGTTTTGACTGTAAACTTTTCATATCTATGTGAGACATGTTACTTTGGTAATTATAATAAGATAGGATTGACATGTGTATACATTTAGATTTTGATACCTATTAGCAATTCTTTTATTTGTTTTGGGGGTCAAAGCATTCTTTAAAAGAAAACTACATAATAGGATATCTCAAAATTTTCAAGGAATCTCATATAACATTTAAGTAGTCAAGAAAGAAAGATATATGTTCATAATAAGCCATCAATGCATAGATTATCTATAGACTAAATAATAATCCGCACCTTGTGTGGAACGAGATTATTAATTTCATTATTTCTTAAAGATAAAAATATATTAGATCTGTTTAATCTACATATCGGTTTGGTTTAAAGTTAGTTAAGGTCATCGGTTTCTTCCTTGTGGATAAATTAATATTATTAGGTGGCTGTCTGTGAATACATGCGCTACACCACGGTATTGTTTTATATTTGTTATCTTATTTAATGATTTAAATTATATTTAATAACATGTTCTTATGTAAAGAAATCATTATATAAATGGATAATGAAATTTGTACTTCTAAGAGTTGTAACTTGATTTTTTATACAGCTATTTTGGATAGAATAGACAAGCTTGAATAATTTAGAGCTTATCTAAAGTTGTTCTTTGTTTTTTCATATAAAATCAATTTCTTATATTTTATTTGTTATATTAAATTTATATATAAATATTTTATAACAGTATAAAAGGCAAAGATTGATAAAAGAAAAAAAAAACACTTGTTCTTCTTTTTTTCTTCTCTATATCACAAAACTGTTTTTGAAAATAATGGTTTGTTCTCTCTTGGTTATAATTACATAATGTGTTGTGAATTTGTGGAGAGAGTTTTCATACTGTTTCTGAATGTGGAGATTTTAACATGGCAAGCCAAAATTCAGAACTAAAATGTTACAAAATAATCCTAAAAGCTTCCTTTTGTGATTTGTGTATAGTATACAAATGATGATTCTTGTCGAATACGTTTAGCTGGATAATCTAAACAATTATCTCGAATCGTCAAGCTTTTAGGCTGCGAACATCTCCCCTGTACTTCGAGTGGAACGCGACCACACTTGTTATGGTCTGAACACGACAACTGCACATCCCGCTGGATGAGACCAACTGTAGATAATTATTAGAACTTCAGGGTCATCTTCATAGGTAATTATCAGATTAGAAAAAGTTAACCATGTCTGAATATAGCTTTACTTGACTATAAGAAACATGTGATACGTGATACACATACGATGACAGAACCATCACAATGAAAGAAGCAAAAAACATTCAGACAAGTCTTAGAGCATGCCCAATGGTGAGTTACACCATTGGAATCCTTAAGCATTTTATAATATATTTTTTTGGTATTTGGTTGCTTTTTGAATAGTTAAGAGTTTTTATGAAAATACAAATCCAATGGTGTTATCCATAATAGAATCCTTAGGAGTAAAAAATAATAAATTTATAAAACATTAGAAATTAAAAATTTTATTTGTAGAAGAGAAATAATGGAAACACCAAAGTAAACTGATTCAGCTAGTTATGAAAGAACAACCATGGAGATACTAAATAACTTTATCAAAGCCATTAAACTACTAAGACATAAACTTGCTTTCCGTATTCATCATTTGCACAAACTAAACAAGTTTAAGCCACTCAAGTAAATGCTCACATGTAAAGCCATGTCCGCATCACAAATAGCAGCATTTGGCTTCTTGACAGTTAGAAACACAGTAGCTGAGGAGGAACAACAACTACCAAACATTCAGAATATCACCCACCATTGGTCGAAAAGGGAGAGAAAGTGATTAAAAAAACTCACCTCTAGTAGCATAGAGAATTGCAGAAGTGGGGTTTAACATGATGGCTTTAGTGAGATAATCTATAGCTTCATCAAACTTTCTTGGATACCAATAAAGCATTAACGAAAGTCTATGAGCTGGATTCACACGGAATGTTATATAATGAAAATAAGAAAAGATACAAGCAGAAACATAAAATGTTTGTTATCTTGATTGCTCTGATACATAGCATAAATTAATTAATTACTTCGATTTTGATAAGTTCTTAGATATAACAGAGCAACATGCTTTTTTTTTTACTAAAACATACCACTTTGTTTCAGTTTTGGCTTAAACTCGATCATATCTTGATGCTGTTTCAGTTCTCAGCTTAATGTTTCTACTCAAACGTTAATTAAGTCAGTCTTCAGAAGCCTATGACTAACCATAATAATACACAAAGAGACACATTATTGCTCCTAACATAACTCAGTTCAATTCTCAGCTTAATGTTTCTACTCAAATGCTCAATAAGTCAGCTTCCATAAGCCTATGACTAACCAAAATGTAAGAAAAGTAAAAGACTTACGGATTACTCCAATCTGTTGTATCCTCATTAACAAGGTGAGTCCATTTAGTTCTCCCACTACGACCAAAGTGCTTGACTTGCATAACTTTAGGCAAAATCGATTTATCCAACCTATCTTCACCCGTTGGTTCAGAGAAGTCACGTTGAAATATACCATCAGTCCCCACAGATCCCGCCTCATCATCAGGATCCGCTTGGAAGAAAGCACCCTTATGATAATACTTCTGCATGAAATTCCATTTCTTCTTCGGTTGAGTCAACGAAGGTTTAGGATTCTTCCTCTCCCACTCTCTCCTCTCCTGCTCCGTTATGTTCCTCAGCTTCTCTACCTCTTCCCTCTCTTTCAACATAAATAAGATGTAGATGTTCACAAACATATAGATGTCAGGAGTAAAGACATTACGTAATGTGATATAATCAATCGCATCTGCAAACAAATGATCTAATAGTCAATTGTCTGATTCAGTAAGCTAAAGTTTCCTACTTTGGTAAGATCAATGACTTCGTGATGATCATCTTCGTGGCGGAGGCTTTTGCTTGTTTCTCAATCTCTGACTTTGTATAGAACGGATCCGAGGTAAGCGACGGCGAGGAAACAGAGAGCAAACTCCGGCGAGTTAGGGAGAAGAAGCATGACGGTATCACGTTGGCGGATCCGTCGCCGTCGATGAGACATGTGATTGTGGAGTCTCCGTCGCCGTTGCGGGAGAACTTTTGGAAGACGTAATCGGTGAGAAGAAGATGATTAGGGATGGAGATATCGGGAAGTTTGGATCGGAAGATGAACTCATGAGCAGAGGATGTCGCCAATTCCCTGCCTCACCAAACTCATCACCAACCCGCACCAATACAAAGTCGCCAGCTCACCAAGGATTAACCGCTCACAAATCCTTAGTTAAGGATTATTTTCACGGGTAACGTAGCTTTTTATTATTATTTTATTCTAATCTGACAAGATTTTGTCCTAAGGATTCACTAAGATGCACCGTTGCACATGGTCTTATAACACTAGACCAGTTCTCGTTCTCTTTGTTCAGCTTTTAAGAGCTTTTTTTACTCAAATTAAAAACACATTTCAAGTTTTCAATTAAACCAAAACTAATGTTTCATCCGATGTGAACCAGAACCGGCTTTGACAATGAGTATGTAAACAAAGGAAATTATGATAACAGAGAAAAGACATTAAGCAGAAAATAAATGTTTTAAATTAAGTAGTTTTCGTCTAACGGTAAAAGAACTTCGGTTAAAGTTTTATCATAAATTCGATTTTCCTAATTATAATTTACATCTGGGTGATAAAAAAAATTATTATTTACATTTTAAATGATAAGAAATCCAGATTTTTTATGGTTTTTGTGATGATTAGTGTTTGGACTTAAAAAATTTAAAAGGGTTGTTTCATTTAATATCATTCTTCCAATTACGGTTTTCAAAGACCGGATATTTAAGCTTTACTGGGTTTGATCAAACCGGAGGCAAATTGATTAGAGATTGGACTCCAGTGTCAAGTGTTTGATCAAACATGGCGCCTCTCAAACATCTAGAGATGGAGAATCCAATCATCGACGCATGTTTCCGAGACTTCTGCTCTTCTCACGGCATTCTAACAGGTTCTTCTTCTCTTCTTCAACCTCTCTCTATCAGATTCTGTATAGTTTTGATCCTTTGCGTTTAAGGTGTTCGACGAAATGCGTTTCACTGAAAACTTGACTCTTTTGCTTATCTGTTTAAATGTGAAGTTGAAGACTTCCTTCTTCATGATATTTATGAACTTGCTGCGTTAGCTGAACGTCAAGAAAATGCTGATAGATTGAAAGAGGTTAGTTAGTTGTTTTGAAGTTTTGAATTTTAGCAAAATGTTGTTCAAAGTGTTAAGCTTTGGTTTGTTTTAGGGTATCACTGTGATGCTTTCTTTGATAGAGGTTAAGTGTCGTCCATGGTTGAACGGTATGGAGTTGTTGGAGGATATGCAGCGTAGTAAACATACTCTGTCTAGTGGAGACAAAGAGTAAGGACTCATCTTTTCATAACTTTGTAACTAGTTTTGTTGTTATCAGTTAGAGACTCTGCTTTTTAAGTGTTTCTATTAATGTTTATAAGGACGGACTCGTTACTTCAAGGTGGGTTACGTGAGGGTCAGCTGACAGAACTTGTTGGACCATCTTCTTCTGGTAAAACACAAGTATGTATATACTCATATACTTCTGTTAGGCATGTTTATGTAACAAGTTTTATACTGTGACATCACATATATGCCTAAGAAGTGTTCTATTCAAGTGTTTTATTTTAGCTGCAAACCAAAAAATGTAGAAATGAGAATGTTTTTTTTGCGTTGTGTGGTTTCTTATGAATGGAGTAGTTTTGTATGCAAGCTGCTGCGAGCGTGGCAGAGAAGCAAGATGGGAGCGTCTTTTATATAGACACAGGGAACTCTTTTTCTGCCCGACGCATTGCTCAATTTATATGTGGGAGTTCGGATGCTGCTGCTTTACGAAAGGTTTACTTATCAGCAATTCTTATCCCCTAGCATATGGAATAGTATCAGTTCTTAATTTTACTGACAAGAAACACATATGTGTAGAGAGTCTTGAGCAGGATATCATGTCACACGGTCTATGACATCTATACAATGTTTGATACGCTGCAAGGTCTAGAGGTTGCTTTGAGGTCTCAGGTATATAGAAGATGCAGTTTCCTCATTGTTACTATGTTCATATTCTTACTGTTATCCATATGTTTTAGGTGCAGAAGAATGTGAACGAGTACAGGTTACGGTTGTTAATTGTTGACTCAATCTCTTCTCTGATAACCCCAATCCTCGGAGGCAGTGGCTCACAGGGTACATGTCCTTGTACGTCCATCTTTTCTTTTTTTTTAATCTAAATGCCGAAGTGATGAGTTGGTAATTGTGAATAAATGACTCACAACTTGGTGTATGTATGCAGGACGCGCTTTGATGGTGGCACTTGGATATCTGCTTAAGAAGCTGGCACATGAACATAACATTGCTATACTGGTATTAATGAAGTTTCTGACGCACTCATTGGGTTGGTCATTGTTCTTCATAGTTAAAACCTTTTTTATTCCCTCCTTCTGTATTGAAAAGGTGACGAACCACACGGTGGGTGCTGGAGAAAGCGGTAAAACCAAACCGGCTCTCGGCGAAACATGGAAAAGCATTCCACACGTGAGACTTATGCTATCACGTGACAACAGGAACAGCAACTGCACTATCTCCATCTTAAAACACACATCAATGGTACGTACACTCGGTTTAAACCAAGCATATACTCTGTATCTCAAGCTTCCTCTGGCTAAACCTTGCAGTTTCTGTGTGTATTTTGTTTTCTTTATAGCCTTCTGGCCAGACTGTGAAGACCACCATGACTCGCAATGACAATCAACAATATTTATAGCCAACTTCTTCTAGAGCAGTGATGGTTTCACCAGTGAAGAATACGCTTGGATCTGCAAGAGACAGTGATAGATATGTAATGCTAATTTATTTTGTTTAACACATGAATACTGCTTTCAAGATAGTTCCTAGGAATCAGAGATAACTCAAAACTTAAAAATAAACATAACAAATTACAAAGTTTTAAACTTTGGAATATAAAAATAAAAACTTTATATTTAAGAGCAATTGCATGGAATAACCATAAAACAAATAAATATTAGCTATCTATCTATCTCATTTTCGTATTTAGGTAGATGGTTATGCAGATAATCGAAAGAGACGAAACTACCCTTCTTAGACTCTTTATTTGCCTACGTTTACGGAAACACATACTCTACAAACCCTAGACTTGTCAGTTCTAAAGCTGATAGTGTCAGAAGCTTGTCGAGTAATACTATTGGAATCTTTAACTTTATAATATAATATATTGAAAAACGTGGATTTAACCACAAACTCTAATTTCTGAAGATCTAAATAGTAATCTGGAAAACATAAAGCGCTGAGTAGGATCGAGATAAAGGTTTGCCTGGAGCCTTTTTCAAGATCTAAGATAACGAAGAACAAAGATGAGTTTGTGCTTGCCATTTAATCGACTATACTCATGTTAAGCAATGTATATGTGATACCAGCAAAATGCTCCGTAATTCCCTTGATTGCATTAATGTCGTAGCAGAGGGTATATGCAACCGAAGGTGGTGTAACACGTGTTGACCATCGTAAGCCTTTTAGGTTAGAGAAGAAAATATCTCGCTCGGTATATCATTTCATATTGTCTAAACGTCAAACCGGTTTGAAAGTATGAAATTTAACTGGTCTAATCGAAAACCAATGTTGGTAATTGTTAGCCAGATAATTACTTGTTGTACAAGCTAGTTAATATATGTTGGCAGGACAGGATTGTACTATTTCCCAGGTTTGTAATCAAAATAATACACCACCTTTCGACCAGTTATATTTGGATGTTCTATTTTCATGGTCCTTATGTGGTTACCAGATATGCATTTTTTTCCTGGATTTACTTGAGAATGTTTATTACCAAACAACTAATTTAGCCGGTTATGTGTAGCTACTAACGGAAACCAAATTTTTTATCCTTCTTGTACAATCCGGTTAAGTATGTTCACTACCGGATTGTATATTCTATACCTTTGATTGTTCGCCATCATGTTAGCTCTTTCGTGTTTGGTCTGACATTTGACCATATGCTCCAGATTAAACACCAGGGGTATGGATGTTTTGTAAATCCTCCAAATTAGGGGCCGTGATGGAACATCCTATATAACCATCACTTAATATTAAGCCGGTAAACAAATCATTTAATGGATAATAAACAACATTACCGGATCCGGTTGCGATGTAAAAACTATGATGGTGTTTTCATATGGGTTACCTCGTCTTGTTCCTCAATACTACCCATCAACATTAAGCCAGTAAACAAATCATTTAATGGATAATAAACGACATTACCGGATCCGGTTGCGATGTAAAAACTATGAAGGCCATTCTACCCCATGGGTATGAGAAAAAATCATCTAGGTTTGCGATTACCTCAGCATGCTCCCTTGCAATCTTCATCTTTAGATTTGTGAGTCATGACATTGATAGCAAGACAAGCAAACTTTACCCAGATCTCTTTATCTTTATAGTTCTTCCCGAACATCATCTCCGGAATCATTTCCGAATCAACAATATCCAAAGAATCCTCTGAATCGTTTATTCTTCTGGCCACCATCGCGATAAAACCAAAAACCTTACTGAAAAAATAGATTGAGAGGGTTGTGAATAATTGGTTCTACGGGTTTTTTCTTGGATAAGAACACCAGACCTCTTGTCTGTATAAGTATTTTTTGCACTGAATGGAAGAATATAAGTTTAGTTTTTTTTTCATTTGTAAACTTTTCATTTGGGTATAAAACAGTATATTGTAGGTTCATGATTTCATACCACGTGCAGGAGAGATGTTTCATATCTAGGTGTGTCATAAGTTGTGATGTAAACGTAGGGGCATATGTCGGGATTATGAAAAATCAAATAGTGATATTCCATATAACTAATTAATAAATGTTTCATAGTTATTCACCTAAATAGCTCTATATTTAATTCCAAGTAGCGCATAAATACGCAGAAACAGAGCAAAGAAGAAAGACAGAGCTGATCCAATGCATAGAATACTATCTTCTTCAAGATAGTTAACATAAGAATCAGAGAGATAACTAAACACTTAAAATAAACATAACAAATTTCAAACTTTTGAATATAAAAAATGAAAACTTTATATTTAATTCCGAGTTGCCTAAGACTACGCTGAAACAGAGCAAAGAAGAAAAACAGAGCTAATCCAATGCATCGAAGACTATCCTCCTCTGTTCTCACCACCATCACATCCCGACATCATTACCACACATCTCAACCCGCCAAACCCACAAAGAAACCAAACAGCCACGAACCAAAAACAACAACTCACAAGCCCACAAGCAGGAAGCCATGGGAAGAAATACCATTCCTCACCGATCTCAAACAAACCGAAGAAACAGAGGAAGCTCTGTCTCTCTTCCACCACTACCAGAAAACGGGTTTCAAACACGACTACCCATCTTACTCCTCACTCATCTACAAACTCGCCAAGTCACGTGACTTCCACGCCGTCGAACAAATCCTCAGCCTCCTCCGCCACCGTAACGTCAGATGCAGAGAATCCCTCTTCATGGCGTTGATTCAGCATCACGGAAAAGCCAATTCGGTTGATAAAGCCGTCGACTTGTTCATTAAAATGACGTCGTTTGATTGCGTTCGTACGATTCAGTCTTTGAACACTCTAATCAACGTTCTTGTGGATAACAACGAATTGGAAAAAGCTAAAACCTTTGTGGACGGAGCTAAAGATATGGGTTTGTGTCCGAACTCTGTTTCGTTTAATGTGTTGATTAAAGGTTTTTTAGAGAAATGTGATTGGGAAGGTGCACGCGAGGTGTTCGATGAAATGCTTGAGAGAGAAGTGCAGCCGACGGTTGTGACTTATAATAGCTTGATTGGGTTCTTGTGTAGGAGTAACGATGTGGGTAAGGCGAAAAGTTTGCTTGAGGATATGATGGTGAAGAGGATACGTCCCAATCATGTGACGTTTGGGTTGTTGATGAAGGGTTTGTGTTGTGAAGGAGAGTACAATGAAGCGAAGAAGTTGATGTTTGATATGGAGTATCGTGGGTGTAAACCAGGGTTAGTTAACTACGGGGTTTTGATGAGTGATCTTGGAAAGAGAGGGAAGATTGATGAGGCAAAGATTTTACTAAGTGAGATGAAGAAAAGGAGGATAAAACCAGATGTTGTGATTTACAACATTTTAGTTAATCATCTTTGTAGTGAAGGTAGAGTCCCTGAGGCTTACAGAACGTTGATGGAGATGCAGATGAAAGGTTGTAAGCCTAACGCAGCTACGTACCGTATGATGGTTGATGGGTTTTGTCGTGTTGGGGATTTTGATTCTGCGTTGAGTATTTTGAATGCTATGCTTGCGAGTAGACACTCTCCCACGCCTGCAACGTTTGTTTGTTTGGTTGATGGGTTGATAAGAGGAGGTAACTTGGATCATGCTTGCTTTGTGTTAGAGGTTATGGGAAAGAAAAATTTAAGCTTTGGATCTGGTGCTTGGGGAAATTTAGTTAGTGGTCTCTGTATCAAGGATGATGGAGGAGGTTGTTTTGAGGCTTTGTCAGAAGTTATTTCTACCTAAGCAGTGAGTGACCTCTTAAAGGTGAGATTATTTCATATTTGTTTATTCCTGAGTTCAAATGAAATAGAGTGGATAGGTTTAATGTCATTTTGATTCAAGAAAAAAAAATATTGTGAGGAGAATCTGCATGCTTGCCTTATTAGGCTGAGAAATCTAAAATGATTAATCTATTGGATAATTTATACAGTGGAATTTCTAATAATTCAAGATCTTTTTGGTGAAGTTATATTCTGGCTTTTTTTTTCTTGTTTATGTTCTTTTTTTTTCTCTTAACCAAACCACTCATATAATGGAAAAGATGTCACCTACTCTGTTTCATCAACTCCATGTTATTCTATATACAATCTGGCTTTGTTTCATTTATAAATGCTCATCATGAATCAATATGTATAAATCACAGGGCAAGTAGAAACAATTCAACTCAAATTCAAATTAACTATCTTAGTCTCTGATCTTTCTCCTTGACCAATGGCAGGCTGTAAGATACTCTTTCTCCTTGTTTTAGCTCTAGCCATTACTTTTGTCTCCGCTGCTCGGCTTCTTAATGAAGAAGAAGATATTGGATTGGTCCCTATGCCTACCACAAGTCCGGGTCCACTACCAACGTCTGGTTCAGGCCCCTTCCCCACTTCAACTGTTATCACTTCAGGTACAGGTCCAGCCTCAGGCGGTTCAGGTCCCTTGAATACTTTAAGTGGCTCTGGACCTCTACCAACCACTGGTTCTAATCCTTTACCGGTTGCTAATTCGGGTCCCTTGCCTGCTACTGGCACCGGTCCTATACCAATCACCGGTTCAGGTCCTTTGCCTGCTGCTGGCTCAGGTCCTTTGCCGACTGTTGGCTCAGGTGCCACAGCCACGGGTGCAGGGTCAGTGACCGGTGGTTTACTTCCAGATCACACCTTGGTTTTCTTTATGCATGATATACTCGGTGGCTCAAACCCAACAGCCAGAGCCGTGACTGGAGTCGTTGCAAACGCAGCTCTCAGTGGCCAACTTCCATTTGCAAAACCCAATGGCGCAAACCTCCCTGTCAGCAACGGCGTTCCATCTAACAACAACAATAACGGAATCCTCAACAACAACAACGTCCCTCTTCTTGTCGGCCTAGGCGGAACCACTTCCAACATTCTTCAGAACAACGGAAACAACCTCTTAAACGGTCTCCCTGTAGCCAACGGTGGTCAGCTCCCATCTGGCTCCTCCCTTCAGATGCTCATGTTTGGGACAATGACGGTGATGGACAATGAGCTAACCGAAGGTCATGAGCTAGGTTCAGGTCTCCTTGGTAAAGCTCAGGGATTCTACGTGGCGAGTGCTGTGGATGGAACTAGCCAGACTATGGCTTTCACGGCTATGTTTGAGAGTGGTGGTTATGAAGATAGTATCAGTTTCTTCGGTGTACATAGAACTGCTGCATCAGAGTCTCATCTTGGAGTCATGGGTGGTACGGGGAAGTATGTGAATGCGAGAGGATATGCCGTTGTGAAGACTTATGTTGGTGGCAGTGGGAACACACAGCAGCCTCACCAGTTCACAGATGGGCTTGAGACTGTTCTGGAGTGTACCGTTTATCTTTCTTACTAGTTTTCTTTGTTTTCTTGTTTTCTTTGTATTTGAATTGCGTTGTGTTCTTTCATCTTTGTCATCTTTAATATGTAACAAAAGCTATAAATTTGACAAAAAAATTCCTGTTGATTACAAGTTATAGTAGCTTCGCTATTAGTTTAAGCTTTAACTTGTAGACTTTTGACCGTTGTTATGTGAAAACATATGATCATTGTGAAACTGATCTAAGATAATTACAGTAAAGATTTAAAAAAGAAAAGCAAATGTAAAACACAACATTTTTTGTAGAGGGCCACAAATTTAGATTTTGATTTAGGCCTTCAAAATATTTGGGCCATCCCTGAATAAAAAATCTCCCAATGTGTTGTAATGAATCAAGAAAAAAGCAAATAATTTTGACTTTGTGAAGTTATAATTTTTAAGCTAAACTATATAATCCTAGTAACAAATAACGAAAGGTGAGAACAAAGGCAAAAACAAAATTATATATGTAAAACATAAATGATGATAGTTGACCGACAATCCTTTATGGCTCGTTGCTAAAAATGTCAATCATTCGACACAGCAGTAGTGTAAACTCTAAAAATAAAAATAAAGAGAATTGTGGTTGGGAAGTGAAATAGTTAAGTTGAATTAGTCTACAATGATTATTCAGTTCAACAAGAAAAAATAAAGTCTACAACGATTTATTTATAGGGCTTATTGGCGAAGTAGCCATGTTTGCCTTATAAATTAGGAAACTAGACATGATTTTGACATAATGCATTATCAGGTTTTTTGCCTTCATTCCAACCGGTTATGCCCCTAAAAGGAAGAGGTTGTCGGTTCCTTTTATAAAGTAATTGATGTGTTCAGATTCTGTGGTATAATAACAACCACATAATTTATGTAGCNAGGGCTTATTGGCGAAGTAGCCATGTTTGCCTTATAAATTAGGAAACTAGACATGATTTTGACATAATGCATTATCAGGTTTTTTGCCTTCATTCCAACCGGTTATGCCCCTAAAAGGAAGAGGTTGTCGGTTCCTTTTATAAAGTAATTGATGTGTTCAGATTCTGTGGTATAATAACAACCACATAATTTATGTAGCGAGTGAAAGAGTATGTATTCAAGACACGCTGTAAGATATCGATTCATAATTTATGTAGTCTACATAAAACAATATAACTATTACTATACCTTTAAATGATTGTAATTCAATCTAATTTTTTTTTCTATTCCACATGCCGTATATGACATAGAAATTTTGACATGGCAGACACAAATAAGAAGCATGTCCATTCCATGCAAAGCACATGAAATGGAAACAAGGCCTATGTAATTTTACATAATAAACGTGATATCAAGTTAAATGTTAAATCGGACCCAACTTTTGAAAACTAAACTTAAATTGATATTACTGAACCCAAAACTCAACCTCAACATTCCCAATACTAAATCATAAATACTAATCACTAAACCCTAAATCCAAGTATATACTCTAAACTCAAATAGAATGGAACATAATACATAGAATAGTAAATATTTGTAAGCAAAATAAAACTCTTTATTAATCATCAAATGAAACGATACATGATAGGATCATTAAACTCAAATCTCAACCTCCACACAATAATCCTAATCACTAAACTCTAAACCCAAGTATAAATCCTGAACCCAAATATAATGGAACAAAATACATAGTATAGTATATACTGCTAAACAAAATAATAAATTCTTTATTTTGTTCTATTCTACATGGTTCACATAGAATAGACAAACTGTTGAAGTTGGTGAAGGTATGTGATGGGGGACGACGTCACTTGCTACTATATCGTCTTATTGTTTCCAGAATTGCGAAGAAGTTTAATTTCCATGTATAAACTCCTAATAGAGAAACTCTGGAGAAACTATTCTATTTAGGTTTGAATTGTTCCATATGATTATATAGCATAACATAGCTACATAGACGTTGACGTGTGCGATTGGGCAGAGACGACGATGTAGTCCATGTAAATGTTCAATAATGTGGAACAGGGAACAAAATTATAGATAAAAATAATATAAAACTAAATTTAGAACCTTGTTATAAAGTAATGACTCTATTTAATTTTCACGAAACAAATTTATTTGTAACCCTTGTCCGAATGAAGACCATATTACTCAAAAGAGAAGAATACTATTGTTTAACTTTGTTTCATTATAAATTACAAATGATTTCAAATCTGAAACAATGTTTAATACATAAGAAACTTACAAATTACAAAGAATGTAATGCACAAACATTACAGAGAATGTATGACACATTTTTTAACAATTTCCCAAATTTTAAAGCATTCAACATTGCCAAATGATCATCCATGACAACCTAATAATAAGAAATCCAAACACAAAAATTTGTTAGTAAGAATATAGAAAAGAACAGTCAAAACAGTTCTTAGAATGCTTAAATACTAAAACGCAATATAAACTCGTTATTGGTAAATCTAAACCCTAATCATTGATCTATAAACCCAAATTAAGTCTATATAATATCCTGCAAAATTTTAGTACTGTAATATACATAGTATGAAATCTAAACTGTAATCACTGATCTATAAAACCAAATATTATTCATACAATCTGGCGACATTAGTTAATAGCAAGTGTAATCAAAATAATTAAGCCTTTAAAGTAAACGTAAACAGTAATCAGTACATCATTTGTTTGGCTATAAACTAAATCAAAAGAGTGATAAGTAGCAAGTATAACATCCATTAACCCCTAATACACACAAATGTCTGATCATAAAGCGTCCATAAACTACCCCAAACGGGGATAACTAAACCCTAAAATAAAGTATTAACCCTAATACATATACCATAATATGGCGACATTAGTTAATAGGAAGTGTAATCAAAATAATTAAGCCTTTAAGGTAAACGTAAACCGTAATCAGTACAACATTGAAGAAACTATAAACTAAACCAAAAGAGTGATAAGTAGCAAGTATAAACTTCAGTTAACCCCTAATATACACCAAAATCCCTATATCATAATATACGCACACTTCATAACACTGATGTAACCAAAGTAAGCAAGTTGGGAAAGTGGAAGATATGTTGATCCAGATTCCATTCTATCTGTATATCATAATTCAATTCCATTCTATGTCCTGCATATTCCATTCTATGGGGTTGTAGAAGCTTTAAAAAGAGTAAACTATTTAACAAAAATATACATAGAGTGAGGTGAGAGCGATAAAACATAGAATGTCAGAGTGATATAACATANAACAAAAATATACATAGAGTGAGGTGAGAGCGATAAAACATAGAATGTCAGAGTGATATAACATAGAAAATAACATCATTGTCTGCTAATGTTCGTAAATATATATGGAGCAAGCAGCAAAAAGTCATTAAATGAAACCTAAACATAAATTAGTACACCATTCAAGAAACTATACACCATAATCCCTATATCATAATATACGCAAACTTCATAACACTGATGTAACCAAACTAAGCAAGTTGGCAGAGAGGAAGATATGTTGAATTAGATTCCATTCTATCTGTATATCTTAAAACCATTCCATTCTATGTACTGCATATTCCATTCTATGGGGTTGATCATAGAAAATAACATCATTGTCTGGTAATGTGCGCAAATATATATGGAGCATGCAGCAATATATTCCATTCCATGTGGAATGGAAATACAGATATCATAGAACAATTTGACAAAGTAGTAAAGGACTGCAAGGAAATTCTATTCTATGTAGATAAAATCTAAACTGAAAGATATATATAGGACAAGGAGGGAATGATAAACACACGGACTCAAGGCGAAAAATCATGTATAGTTGCCAATCGATTTTAACCAATGGTTTTGAAAAGGTAGACGACAATTTCAGTGACAGATCGATGAATCTAGTAGGCGAAGGTTGTAGATTTAAGAAACCGTAAACCCTAATTCCGAAATAGAAAGTAGTCATGGAATCGAAAATCAGAGGAACTAAAGTCAAGAAACCGGAGAAATCACCTTGACGGAGAAGATCGTAGAAGAACAGAGAGTAGGAAGTATAGTTGAGAAGAGGGTGAGCGATGCCGAGTAGAGAGGGATGAGTTCTTCTGGATTGATTCAATCGGAGTAGATGGCGGAAGCGATTTCGAGAGCGGAGGACACAAAATCAGGGAGACGGAGGGGGAATCGAGGGGGTGAGAGTAGGTTTGTGTGGAGACGTTTGACTGTCTGGGGAGTTACTGGGATATGTGAAAAAGGGGTGGAGGACGGGTAGACACGATTTACAGTTTCTGCCAGAAAAAAAGTAAAATAATTTTATTTATTTCAGCCGGTGAAACCAGTTTACTACAGGGATAATATGGAAATATTATAGAAAGCAGACGGCGTGAGGTGATCCGTTAGGGCTTTTGACTAGTAGGCTAAATATGAGTTTTTGTTTGGTTATTAAGCCCAATTTCCCTTATNGACGGGTAGACACGATTTACAGTTTCTGCCAGAAAAAAAGTAAAATAATTTTATTTATTTCAGCCGGTGAAACCAGTTTACTACAGGGATAATATGGAAATATTATAGAAAGCAGACGGCGTGAGGTGATCCGTTAGGGCTTTTGACTAGTAGGCTAAATATGAGTTTTTGTTTGGTTATTAAGCCCAATTTCCCTTATTTATATTAGTATCCGTATGCAAACATGGGAGTTATACCAGTTCTTTTCATGTATTTGCTGTAGTACAGTATTTTTCAGTTATGTATACTATCTTTAGAGAGAGCACAGTTTATACGTCTTCTTTATCTATTTTTTGCCAACCTAATAATATTATCTCACTGTCATTTAATTCCTCCCATCAGAATCTGATTTTAATTGTAATGTTTCTGTGGGTGTTATTATTCCTTGGATGTCTCTTTGATTTTAGTATAGAAATTGAAGTGTTAAACTGAACAATATCTAGAATGCTTTGTTGTAATAAGTGGTCTCCCACAAACTATATGTTAATCTCAGAAAATTGGTATGAAGCTTAACATTTACACCAAACAAAAAAAAAAATAGAATACATAAATGGTATTTTTTTTATTCTTACCACTATTCTAGCATTGATTTACAAGATAGTGCATGGTTTAGAAATAGAAACTCGGACGGAAAATGTG